TTTTCCCCACCCATAATCCTTCCCCAGCCATTACAGCAGTTCCGTGGAAGCCGATAAAGACGTGAGTTGGTTTTCATTTTCAGTTCGACGTGTACTCCTGGAGCGTAGCCACAATAATCCGTTATGCCAAAAGAGCCTTGTCACAAAGTCGCGCGGCCTGCCCTGCAGGTGTATCTGTCCCTGCTGAGGATGTACCTGTCCCCTCCGGACGCGCACTGCCTGGGGCCCATCAAGATGGAGCTGTCGGAACCACAGGCCAACCTCCAGGCCGCTCTGCAGGTCCTGGAGCTGCACCACAGCAAGTTGAACACCACCAAGGTAGAACATGTGGAAACCCGCATTTATTCATTTCGGGGGGTGTCAACTTTGGACTCGGCATAGAATATACTGCACTGTATTTGTTTTTTATTCACGAGTGTCATTCAAGATTTGATTGCTATTTCAATTGTAATTGTATACAGGCCATCAACTTGCTGCCAGCCAACACTCAGATCCGCGAGATTCGAGGCTTCTTGGAGAGTGTGCTTGAGGAGAAGGCTCAGAGGAAACGCTGCAACCAGGTGCTCAAGATTCTCCTGCAGGCGGAGTTCCTCAGGGTGAGCACAGACCGGCTTCTCCCGTTGTGGACCTTTTCAAAAGTTGGTCGCCGCCCTTGTTAATTTCATTGGAACCCAGTGCTGCGCATTATGGCCTTAAAATAAAATATATATATATTTTTTTTTTCTGTTTTAAACACAGAAATCCGACTGATAATTTCCATCCGTTCTTATTTCCTCTCAATAAATAGTTCTGGGTCAGAACTGAACATGACAGTTTTTGTCTTTGTCTGTCAGGTGCAGGAAGAGCGCATCTTCCACCAGCAAATCAAATGTGTCATCACGGAGGAGAAGACGTGCAGAGTGTGCAAGAAGAAGATAGGAACCAGGTAAACTTTTCACTCATGTTGAAATGCAAGAATATTTTATAGCCACTTGTTGACAAATTTGATCTTAAAAAAAAAGACACATTTGGTCATCGTGACCTTTTAATAACTTGGATGCAAGTAGTGGGTCACTCGAGATTCCATGGTGCAACAATTGGTGGATGCAGCTCCAGCGACGTGGCACATGACATGGCATGACCCATCCATTTCGCGGCTTCCCACATTCCCGAGCGACTGTCTTTGTGTCTCGCAGTGCGTTTGCCAGATATCCCAACGGCGTGGTGGTGCACTACTTCTGCTGCAAAGACCGCAACGCATGTCCCACCGAGTAACATCCCAACACGTCCTCCTGTTTCACGAAAAACGAAGAAATGAAATAAAAATTCAATCCCCCATCGCCACCCACCTGTGGAAACGCTCCTGGAATTTCACGAGAAATGTTCTCAAACCCTCAGATGTTTTTTGGGGAGAACATGGTGGCCTTTCCCTGCTGCCCCTCTCTTTTTTGTGGACATTTGTAGCCGTACAACAAAAGGAAGAGTGAAAATTGTGACTTAAACAGGACGCCACGGACATGATCGAGGACACTTGACTGTTAACATCTTTTTCGGACTCAAGATTGTACGCAAGGCGGTTTATTGTCTGCTAGCATGAAGAATCGTGTTTTAATTTTTTGGACCTGCTAAGATATTCAGCTTCAATCACAACTGTACATTTTTTACCCCTGTAAAGTGTTTGAAGGAAACCCAACGGCGGGATCACTCTAGTGCAATACTTTGAAGGGTGGACAAAGTTTATTTATTGCTTGGAGAGAGGTACTTGGAATTTGAGTTACAAATGTTTAATTTTTGCATTTCAGTGTGATTGTTTATTTAAAACAAACAAACAAAAACACACTGATACTAAAACAAAACAAGCACTGAATGTTTCATTGAATTGTCTGAACTGCCATCGCCGCATCCGACACGCCTACGGTAAATGTTTGCACACGCACGTCCTGCTCCACTTTTGTAACTTCTTTTCAAATGTGTTTGTCTGCCTTTAATTCCTAATAAAACATTTTGCAGCAGGATGCAGGATGTTTGACTGTTATCCTCCAGACTCAATAAAGTAACAGAGCAAACCGATTGCTTGCGGCGTGTTATTCATGTACAAATACAAATGGAATGTTTTTTGGTTTGAGTTTTACTTAGGGATATGTTGACCAATTTAGTTGGAAATTGGACCAATTTAATTGCTGCTGTCCAACTCTCCGGCTAGCTTGTTAGTTAGCTCTCATGCTAGCTCGCTAGCACCAGTATGTTATTATATGGACATTGTGGATTTACCGTATGTTAATGCCATAACTTGAATAAAGCATTTAAATCTAAAACTGAGCATTTTGACCATTTTCATCGCCATGTAAACCATTTATTAAATTTACATATTCAAAAAAATAGAATGATAATACAACTTAAAAGTTGTATTAATTGAAGTGCATTAGCTTTTTTGTACCAACTAAATTCTCACTCGGCGAAAATAGACACTACAAGGTAGAGTGATGATAAATATATTCGTTTGAAGTGTGATATTGTGTGC